TTTTTTTTTTTTTTTTGCAATGCACCCTGTTCAAATTCGTTGTGAATTGATCGCCTTGTTGTGGATGAAATTCTCCATGGTGAGACTGAATGAGAGTTTAAAATGGGGATGTATTGATTGTGTGTGTTGAATGTTGATGTGGCGTCGTATAGTTAGTAGCATGGAATTTACGGCATTTTCCCAAGTATTCATATTTCCTCATAAGACATAAGAGAGACGTTTTTACGTAGACACTTTTCTATTTAGATCGGTTGAATCAACCATCTCATGAGTTGAATGACGATCTACCTTTTTGTGTTGTTTTGTTTGATCGCATTATGTGGTCGCCGATCACATGATAAGTCACGTCGGGAGAGACTCTTGACGTTCTGACGGTTGGGGCGCCTTAAGGTACCAGTTGACCTTATTGATCTTATTGGTTGATCTCGTGAGGTTGAGGTCACTCGTCAAGATTCCTTTTATCTGGCCCCCCGTTCTCGTCCTGGCCGAGGCTGCTTGTTTGATCTCCATGCTGTCGAACAATTGAGCGATCTTAAATATCGAACATATATCCATATAACTGAATTAAAATATCATACTTTAACAAATAATATTAGAATATAATATTTCGTAGAATAAATATGATTTTTATTAAAAACTCTAATAGTTGATAACAATTGATCTCCACCGTTAATTGGAGATTAGTTGAACGAAATTACTAGTATCAAGTATCAACTTATATGGAATCAATCCGAAATTAGTATGAAACCTAAGGACTCACGTGCAAAGAACTTTCCCTAGTAGACCCGCGCCCGCCATAACCGTTGGCATCCCCTTCCCAACCATATGACGCAATCACTTTCCGATTACCCCCAAATTCAGAGCCGCCGTAGAATCTCTCAAAGCTTTGCTTCTCCATATTATGAGTTCGTCAAACTGCTGCTTTTCTCTAACCAATACCCTCGCTAATAACTCGAAGTTCAGAGATGAGAAGAAGTGTTTGATTCGACATGGTTCGAGTGAGCTTTCGCATTTTTCTCGGCCCGGTTTGCCAGTATAGATAACAGAGCCTTATGAGTTTTTCAGAGTTTTTCTTTTCTTTTTTTCTTTTTTTTTTCTGTTACTTTCTAAAAATATTGTATGACCGTACTATTTTTGCATTTTGTTTCTGTTTTTCGAACATGGTTGGGTGGAGAAGGGGTGGGTCATGGCCCGTGCTTCCCCCCGCATCAGCTGGTATAATAAAAAATCTGAGTAAGACAATCACGTTAAGATGGCCGTGTGAATATTATCGTAGAAAACATGCACTGTGATTTTTGACTTGAGGTGAAAATATGCTTCTGCATAAGTTGGCTGTTTGATCTTTGGTCAGATTTTCAACAACCATTTGATCAGGTTCTGATAAAAAATCATGCGTGTGTAAGGCACAAAATCTGTTTATTAACAAGATGGAGAATGATACATTCAACGTAAAAGAAGAGATTGACAAGATATGGACGAGAGGTGCTTAATTTTGTAGTTTAAAACACCTAGCATAACATTATCTTAATCCGATTTGGATTTTCCTAGGTAGTGTACCGCCTCAACCTATTCTCGACAAACCTCCACTTGAGACCGGACCACAGAATACCTTGAATAACATTCTAGTGATTGGATAATGAGGATATACATATTACCTTCTTATAGTAACTCGAACAAAGCTTATCCTAAATCCTGATGGGAATTTTCCTTTCTTTACTTTTTCTTTATGCCTACCACTTCCAGTTCTTGGATAATGTATGGGAACCAAAACTGCTGCGACACCCGAAACATAACTTTCTCATGTGGGTAATCAGAATGAGATTTTTTATCCCTCTGCAAATGGCTCAAGGGTATTATATCATTTCTGTGTATGGGAAGAGAACAGTAGAGTCTTCTATCATTTTCTGAATTATATCATCCGAATTACTCGCCCTGTCTTTCCTTGAATAGAAACAGCTGCTTCAACTCATCTGTTTTCAGAGGTTTGAATGTGAAACCCATTTGGGAACTGCAAACCGGGAGTTCGGAGAATGTCTCCTCCTTTGACTGCTTTCCACCTGGCAGGATGAAAAAAGGTTAGATGTCTCTCTCTATGAGTTCAACACACAGTTTCTAAAAACTTAAGATTTTTTTGTTATTGTTATTCTTACTTGTATTTTGTTACCAAACAATGGAGAAATACAGCCATTTGCACCTTCGTGAAATCTGTCCCTACACAAAATCTCATACCACCTCCAAAGGCCATGAAATTTCTTGATGCCCCATTTGTGTCTATTCCCTGTAAGCACTTTGTCGTGTCGTTCTATGGTTAGAAACAGGCATGGAGATAATATATATACACACACACTGACACACACACACACATATGTATTGATATAATTTTAATATTGGTGCAAATACTCGCCTCCCATCTCCATGGATTGAATTCAAGGGGATCTCTATATTTGGTGGGGTTTAAGTGCACAGCTGGAGGACATACCATGACTGCCCAGCCAGCTGGGATCGTATAACCTGAACCAACAAAAACAGTGTCAAGTTATGTTCTATAAAAACAAACCTTACAAGTGAACTCGTTAATTTCGTGTTCGATACAAACCTTTGAATCTGATTTCTCTCAGCGTCTTTCTGAAAATCCCAGGAACGATATTCGCCAGTCTCACTGTTTCGTTTATCACCTGCGATTTTAATATTCTAGTCTCGTTAGCCGACAATATTTCTAAACATAAGGCCGAAAAAGTTGAGTGAAACCCCACCTGAAAAGTGAACTTCATTAATTTGTACTCATTCCATGTTAGCCCAGAATCCGGATTCTCCCTCCTCTTAACAATTCCCTCGTGTTCTTCCTGAGACACATTTTCGAGCGTATTAAGTAACTTCATTTATCTAGTTGTTCAAAGAGTAGTAGTTCTATCTCCCTCACCTTGAGTTCTTTCAAAACCAATGGATGCTCTAGAAGAAGTTTAACTGCCAAAGTGATTGCCAGCGAGGTTGTCTCGAAGCTGGCAAAGAGCAACACAAACATCAAATCCAGAGCAATCGCCTCTGTCAGAATCGTTCCCTCTCTCTGAAGCTCTTCCAAAACATAATCAAAGAAATCACTTCGGATTTTTCGTGGCCTCTCTCGTCTTTCTTGCAGCATGGATTTCAGCATCTTCATTGCTCTTTTTCTCCCCTGATGATCAAAGCAGTAAATTATATTACCATATATTTTTAGTACATTAATAGCAATATCTTAGAGACACGTACACACACGTGTAATATGATGTACCTGTAAGCATTTGTGGTAGGCTGTGCCAGGAATGTCCAGAGGGAAAGAGATTAACCCCTGTATGAAAGCCACAAAGTTCTCCCTTAGATTCTCTGGGGACTTCTCTGAATCGTAACTGATCAGCTTCTTTGCTGTCAGGTCGAAAATCATCTGCACGGAAAAACTTACCAGTCACATTTGAGAGAGAATTGGAATTATTATTAGAAATGGATTAAATTTGGTCCCGGAAGATAACCTGTGCGGTTGCTTCCTTCAGCTCAACTGTACACTGACCCGACCATCTCCCTAAGCTCCTGTTAGATGCCTGCTCGACCTCCGGAAGCATCTTTTTCAGACTTTCCGGTCCAAAAAGATTCAGTACCATATTCTTTAGGTACTTGTACATGAACCCGTGCAACGACCCCACATTCTGTTTACCGAATATTTCGGTGAATGTATCTGGATACCAGCTCTGAAATGACTGCCCCTCCTGTTGGAATATGAAATAATTAAGATCCGCATCTGTGGACACGATCACGGGCCTCCCCACCAAGCTCGTCTTGAATATCGGCCCGTATCTGAAAAAAATCGAGTCAGTAAGATACTTAATATACCATCATATTCGGCTGCATTGTCAAGATTCTTTTGTACCTTTGCATCCTGTTTTTGACAAAGGGAGGAATATCGGACGACGTGTTGGGTGCAAAGAACTGTAGTGTCTCTCCCAGTAGAGGCCAGCCCATGGAGCCAGGCGGGAGGACTCCGTTGCACCTTGGGTTTCTCCAGCTGTACAGCCAGCTGGCAATGGCGGCGACCAATAAAATCCAGACGTAGAAAGCGAGAGAGAACATTTTGAATATTCCCTTAGAAAGAGTTTCCTAATAAATTCGTATTAATGCGCTTAATCGAGAGTTGAGCTATAATATGATGTCAAGGGGACAGGGCTGAGTAGAAGTTGCTGTAATGTATCTGACGTCCACGCGGTGGAGGTGTTTAAATAGGCAGGCAAGAATCTGCAACTGGTTAAAGATTGATCAGTTAAAAAAAAAAGAGTTGGCTCGTCTTTTTATTTATTTATTTATGTTATTTGTTTTATTTTAGAAGTTGGTTGCTCCATAAGCTGTATATGGGAAAATTAAAATAAAGTAGAATAATTCTGTCTAGAGTACCACCACCCTCCCTTTATCCTTTGTAAACGCATGCATAAAATACATGTTTGGAAAGCCTAGCATGACGATGAACGGTACATTATACATCTTTCTCCCGAACGATTACATTTTTTAGCATTCGCGTCCTGAGAATGCTTAAAATGGGCGTGCATTATGAAAATTATTTCATCCTTTGCTTGCGAAATTCTCTTCCCCTAGCTAGAATTAACAAAGTATTTGGTTCTAACTGTAGATTACACCTGGCCTACTGAGTTAGGTAACGAATATACGGGTACGTATAAATTACTAGGAACGTAACCGAAGGATATGTCAGCATCTGCGAATGTCAAACATGTTATCTGTGCTAAATACTTGGTCATCTACCGGTTGTTAAATGCCCCTCACTAATCACATTGTTTTCTTTTCTTACTTCTTCCTCTCTTTTTTTTCTTTTCTATGTTTCTAAATCTCATCTTAGATCTTCTTTAGCTGTACATTATATCTGTATCGAGATTTCGATTCTTATTCCCATCAGCATCCGGCCATAAAAATGACGTCTGTTAGATTTCCACATAACCACTGTATCCACACACGTCAAAGAATCTGCATTATGTAAGTTATTATACGTGAAGAAAAGGAAAAGAAAAACAAAGTTGAGACAGTGTCACATAGAGCACCACCCAACCGGGACCCGGCCCTTTGAGCCACGGGCTTCAACATGTAATGGTATAGGGTAGGTAACTGTGTGTGTCCATGATGTTGTTTGACCAGTAATTAGTAGTAACAGTTAATTGTTTGCTTAATTAACTACAAGTTTTCACTGTTACTGTTTGATCAAGATTCCATTCATGGGGGTTAACTTAACTTATTACATGCGCACACCGATCTAGAAAGCTTGTCTGGTATTTGTTTCCAAGTTCCCTCAGAACAGATTGGAATTTCTCAAAAAAAAAAAATAAATAAATAAACATAAGAATTTGAACTTTCATGTGCATTTTAACTA